GATATCTGCAGAAGGTCATCACTACGCCAAGGACGAAACCGTTTCGTAGTTTTTGAATGCAACGGAGAGAAATACACAACGCGTAGGGAATTAAAATCGCTCATACATTATTTTTTTCGTTTCATAGGATTTTGATCATTTTTGGAACAATTTTTATGAGTGAACGACTGCGTGGCAGGTAGGGGAGAGTGGGAGTGTGTTATCTGGGCTCACTGCCCGGCGTAACGGTCTGCTTGACTGTTCTGCTCGTACTGCGGCGGTGCTTTCCTTTGGTGGACGCTGTTGTGTCTGACGATAGGGAAGGAGCAACGTTGCCAGATGGACGATAGCTACCGGTAGGACAGATGAATGAATGAATGAATCTTGAATTTTAGAGGCATCCCGGCCACCATAAGGAGCCAGTGCATAGGCCGCTTAAGCGGGCCCTTATGCACCTCTACAATACTTAAATCACAAGCCTCGCCCTTTTAGCGAAGTTGAGAATCGCCTTGAGTCCAAGCTCCTTTACGTCCTGAGGGTCCAAAGTAATGGACCCCAGTATAGTCTGCCTATAGTAGCTAAGAGCTTCACAGCGACACAAAACGTGCGCCGAGGTCTCTTCCTCTACTCCGCAGCGTTCGCATAAGGGATCCTCAGCCACCCCCATCACGTGCAGGTGCCGCCTTAACGTGTTATGGCCAGACAACAGTCCCACCAGCAACCTTAGGTTGGCTCTACCCAGAGATAGGCAGAAGCGTCCATCCTTAGCACTGGGCCCTTCAATGAGCTCTCGTGCCTGGCGGAGATGTCTAGAGATACTTCTCCATTTCTGAGAGTGTTGTCTTGCAACCCACGTCTCCATTTTCCTCCTAGCTTTATGCGCGGTTACTCCTAGAGCTGGCTCAGGACCAACGAGCTTGCTGGCTGATCCTGTTTTCGCCAGAGTGTCCGCCGTCTCATTGCCCCTTATCCCAGCGTGCCCCGGTACCCATATTAACGATACCGGATGCCTCGCTGCGAGGCAATCCAGAGCCTCCCTGCATTGCAATACAAGACTCGAAGTAATCTTACATGCACTTAGTGCTTTCATTGCAGCCTGGCTGTCGGATAAGATTGTTATTCTTCTCCTAGGCCCACCCTCCTCCAGAATGTGAGATACACAAGCCAGAATCGCAAAGATTTCCGCCTGGAAAATGGTGGTGTACTCACCGAGAGGCAGAGATAGCCTAGTTCTAGGTCCAGAGACCCCAGCACCTGAGCCCTCTTCGGTGACCGAGCCGTCCGTGTACCAGACCTGCCCGCTCACTTCGGAGAGTCCTCGGCTACCGGCGTCCCACTCCTCCCTCGTTGGGTACTCCACAATGAACTTGCGGTTGAAGCGATATTTAGGGGTAATACGATCACCCCTGCTTAGAAGGACGGGGTCCTCCCTATCTAATTCGACTAATATGGCAGTATGCCCCTTGACCGGATTCAAGAAAGCCCAGCTGCCCTGACTCCACAGTCGATGAGCGACTACTCTCGCTTCACCGCGGATCACCAGATCCAACGGTGGGAGATCCAACAGAGCTTCCATTGCACTCAATGGCGTTGTTCGCACTGCGCTTGTAATGCTAATACAGGCCAAACGCTGAATTTTATTGAGTTTGGCCTTAGTTGACTCAGTTCTAATGCAAGGCCACCAGACCAGGGAGCCGTACAAGAGAGATGGACGTACTATCGTCGTGTAGAGCCAGTATACCACTTTGGGTTTAAGCCCCCACCTTACACCGACAACACGTCTACAAGCCCACATCGAATTGCGAGCCTTGCTAACCTTGTGTTCCACATGCTCTCTCCAGTTCAGTTTGCAGTCCAGGATAATTCCCAGATATTTCACTGACTGGGACAAAACTAATCTAGTCCCAAAGAAGGTAGGCATGACCAGTCCGTCAAGCCTTCTTCTCCTAGTGAATAGGATCAGCTCGGTCTTTTCAGCATTAACAGAAAGATCGACTTCCCTACACCACGATTCCACGGAGCGCAGAGCGCCCTGCATAATTTCCGAGACTGTTCTACAGAAACGCCCCCTAACCACTATGCTTACGTCATCAGGACAGATGAAGCATTTCTATGGATTTTTTCACTGAATTGATCCGTTTAATTTTTCTTTTGCATGTCTTCGTGACTCAGATTGCATAGCTTGTGCTGAACCTAGTCCTTTATAAACTGATGTCGGCGTTGCGTAGGAACTGGAGAGTTAACCTACTTGACGACATTTCTTTCTTCAACTTTGACTATTTTAGTAACTACTAAAAGGCGTGAGCTTCAGTAACGGATTGATTTCCGTTGTGGTATGTAACTTAAATAGGTATGTCTGCATCTACTCGATTGGCGCAATGTCTATAGAAAGCTTTGATAGGTTTATAGTAGTTTTATTGTGGGCGATTAAATAGAGTTAAGTTTTTATTCAAATGACATTGATATCGTTGATAAACAACACATCTTCATACATATATCGCCTCCTACACTTCAATGACTCAAGTTGAGCATGAGCATCTTAATTGGCGTGAAATGTCTAGAAAATGATCATACCAGAATGTTTAATTCGAAATAATAACGGTACATGAAGTATCATCTGAGTTGAAAATATAGTCTTAACAAAATATGATGCTCAAAAAATATGACTTTTTGAAACAATCACAAATCACATAAACCGTAAGCCTAGACACAAGTAACTATACAAAAAATGAATCTCAGCTTCTGCTAGTGGTTTTTTTTCTAAATTCCATGCTTCTAAAGCAAAAGGACTGTATATTGAGATGGACAAGCTTAATGCTTAAGAAAAAACTAGGTTACGGTTTGGCCCCGCATTCAAACGCTAAGGATTCACAAACAAAATTATTTTCATTAAGTCTTGGCTTCATTGATATCCCAAGTGAATTAACCCTTTTAGATTAGGAGCCGCCCTCACAATTTGCAGACCTTTAGCCGCTATTGAATATATGGAAAATGTGCTTTGTCTTTCGGCTTGCTGAGGTCAGAAAGTTGGTCTTGCAGGAACGTTAAAAAAATTAAAACTATATGATAAGTTGTAGCATTTAACGGGTTATTTTTTAAGAGGTATAGGACTTGATTTTCAAAGAAAACACAAAAAATTTGAAAAAACGATTGAATCTTTATTTGAGTCGATAGAACGGTCGATATAATTTAATGTTTATAGATTATTTCATGTAAATGTTGGCCGCGGCTCCGCTTTAGATGGCCCATGCGCAAGGTCCAATTTTGGCACCACACTCTCTCCAACATATCGGCCGGTATCTCACGAATAAATGCTTCCAGTGCGTCAATCGTTGCTAGTTTATCCCTGTAGACATTAGCCTTAACATGGCCCCACAAGAAATAGTCCAACGGCGTTAAATCACACGATCTAGGCGGCCAATTGACGGGCCCCAAACGTGAGATAAACTGTTCACCGAACTCGCCTCTCAATAGGGCCATTGTTTCGTGTGCGGTGTGGCATGTGGCACCGCCTTGTTGAAACCACGTGTCCAAGTCCAAGTCCAGCTCTTCCATTTTGGGCAAAAAAAGTTTGTTATCATCGCACGGTAGCGCTCGCCATTCACAGTTACGCTCCGGCCATTGTCGTCTTTGAAGAAGTACGGCCCGATGATGCCATCGGCCCATAATCCACAACAAACAGTGATTTTTTCGGGATGTATTGGTAGCTCTTGCAATGCTTCTGGCTGGTCTTTACTCCAGATGCGGCAATTTTGCTTGTTAACGTACCCATTCAAGCAGAAATGAGCTTCGTCGCTGAACACAATTTTTCGATAAAAATGTGGATCTTCCTCAAACTTTGCCAGCGCCCATTCACCAAATGGGGCACGTTGTGGGAGGTCGTGTGGCTTCAATTCTTGCACCAGCTGTATCTTATAAGGTTTTACACCCAAATCCTGTTGCAAAATTTTCCACGTAGTGGAGTAACACAGGCTCAATTGATGCGAACGGCGGCGAATCGACATTTCACGGTCATCACTAACACTGGCGGATACAGCCGCAATATTTTCTTCAGTCCTCACTCTACGTCTGCGTGTTGGTGGTTTAATGTCCAATAATGTAAACTGGGTTCGTTGATAAATCGATTCATGGTTAAATTATAGACCAAACTGAACAAGTTTGACAATGACACAAGACACGATTCACGCGTCATCTGTCAAAAACGGTGTTGCCAAAAAGATACTAGCAAAAAAATCACCCATTATATACAATTAGTATGCCGGGTGTCAAACTCGACCCTCACCATTGGGATGTCTAAAACAGTGAGAGATACAAATACGCCGCTAATAAATTCAAAGTACTTTCGGAGAGAGACAGAAAAAACAGAATTTTTCCAAAATTATTTCAGTGTTTTCCTAACTTTATTTATAGTGAAATTTCAAAATAAATCACACACCAGTATTGCCACTTTGTCTCCTTCACAAAATGGCATAATTAGAATTTCAACTTATTATGGACGCCATATTGGATTTATGCACATGTGGATAGAGTTCTTAATTCTGATTCCACAAGCGTGTAATAGCTTTAAATATTTCAAAATAACCGAATTTCCTAAGTGAGCCTTGAAATTATCAGGTCTTTTATTTTTCCTGACTTCACTTGAGATAGTATTACAAAGTAAATTATGGGTTAATATTCCTAACATGAGTCATCGTAAGTTCCTCTTAATAACTGATTTGTTATAATTTTTTCAATGTAATTATCTGATACGATGCGTTTGGCTACATATTTTTTACGGTTTGCACACTATATGAAATATTTATCTTCCATTTAGAACAAAATAACTGCGAAAATGCCACTGAAATGTCAGTCCCGTGCCATGTCCTAGCGGATGTCTCTTGATAATACCTGCCATTTTTTTCACCTGAAGTACTGTTTTGAAAACTTGATATACCTATATCGCAAGTATGCACATAGCTAGCCACAATATAGAAAATTGGTGAAACAAAAAGAATAATTAATTTAGTAATTTTTCGGAAAGCATTTGTCTCCAGCTGTCTGGCCAGTCCCGTGCCGCGCCATATATCACGCCATAAAGTAGTGGGGGAAGGTGTGGTAAGTGACATCCGTATTATCCCAACTGGAAATTGTTAGTATTGGCTCAATCGTCGGAAGATGTGCACAGATTACTGATAGGTTAAGCAGGAACTGGGTCCGACAAGTAAAAAAGTGTCTTGGAAACTTGTCTCTTGTCAGTACCGTGGTAAGTGTTTTAAAGCTACTATTTTTTCTTTTTGCTTCAAATACCCCATGAGTACTTCGGGTATCAAAAACCATAATTGTCATACTAAAATTAATTAGAAATTTTGAACCGATTACTTTTTTTGTTGCTGTAAGTGCAATAATGTCAGTCCCGTGGTTGTAAGTCCCGTGTCATTGCGAAAACACGGAACTGACTGTGTGACACGGAACTGACTTGATTCCATTTTTTCTCTATAAAACTATAGCAAACATGCATTGATGCAAGTACTTTTTACAGTTCACAGGTCTATCTACTAGTCTATAGCAGGGTGTAAGATGTCTGGACATAGGAAAATATCTGATGAAGAAAGAAAGCGTATTAAATGTGACCGGGAACGAGAACGGAGGCGTAAAATAAGAGAAGATCCGGAAAAACGTGAGGAGCAGCGGGAAAAAGAGCATCAGAAATACTTGCGTCAACGAAAGAATAAACAAAGGAAGCTTGTTTCGGAAATGACAGAAAGAGAAATTAGATCGCAACGCAAGAAATGGAGACAATATACAAAGTCTCACCGAGATCGATTAAGACTAAGATCATCCGAAAACGCACATGTGCCAGATCATTTAACGAAACAGTTAGATGGAAGAAAGGAACATGCAATAAAGAAAAGTAATAGAATGAAACTTAAGCGACATCGAGAAAAAAGAAAAAATGAAGCTAAAATAGCAGACCTTAAAAAAAAGTTGGAAAGTGGAAGAAAAAGTATTCTCGCCTAAAGAAGTCAATGCATCAAAATAAAAATGTTGCTCAACAAACTAGTTCCCCATCAGTTTGACCTGGAACTAGAGTACAACAGATCATAGAAAGGTCTTCAATACAGCAAAAAAGAGTAGATGAAATTAAAAAACAACTTATTTTTGGGGAGACCATCAAGGACCAGCTGTCAGAGAGTTATAAATCGTTAAGCCCAAAAGAAAAGGAGGTATTTAGGAAAATAATGGATGGAAAAATTATTAAGAAGTACAAGCTTCAGCGAACGTGTTCCAAAGTTTTTCGATATACAAAAACAAGAGTAGTGGAATACAGCCATAGGAATGTAGATGTTAAGTATCAGAAAATCCGAAGAGCATCTGAAAATAGGAATAAAATTGTGGCGTTCTTACAGGAAGATGTTAATAGCCGGATTTGCCCCGGTAAGAAAGACTATGTTACAAAGAATAAATTCACCTATCAAAAAAGATATTTAACAAACACTTTGAAGAATTTGTTCAAAGAGTTTTGTAAAAAATACGCCGATGTCAAGGTGAGTTATACATTTTTCTGTAAATGTAAACCTTTCTGGATAAAGTTTATGAAGGTAGCAAATCGAGACACATGTAAATGTATGACACATAGTAACATGGAGTTGATTGTATTATCTCTTTGGCAAAGTAAAGTGTTGCATTGCAAAACTACAGAAGCAATAATTGAGTCAATGACATGTGAGACCCGCAATGACCTATGTCTACTAAGGAAATGTTCAGTGTGTGCATTATATAAACCTAAATATATTGAGCAGTACGATCCTGGTAACGTTGTATCATACATATATAGTCAGTGGAAAAACATAAAACAAACTTATTTCAGCAAACGATCACAAAACAACGTTACCAGTTTGAAAATTGCTAAAATTAGTCATCGGATCTTTTGACCAAATTTGAAGGTAGGTTGCCCCTTTTTTTGGCACACGAGGGACGCATTTTTCACCAATACAAAGCAATCAAGACACTGAAACAGAACATGGCAAATGAGGAAATACTCATTCACTGTGACTTTTCTGAGAATTATAATCTAAAGTACGCAGAAGAAGTCCAGTCTTATCATTTTGGAGGATCAAGGCAACAGATTACGTTGCATACTGTGGTAATTTATAGCCGAGCACACGAAAACGACTTGAAGGTTGACAGTTTTTGTACATTATCAGAGTCGTTGGAGCATGGTCCCGGTGCCATATGGGCTCATCTGTTTCCACTGATCAAACTCTATATTGATAATGGGGTAAAATTGTTGCATTTTCTTAGCCACAGCCCCAGTACACAATACCGCAACAAGAAAATGTTTGCATTCATTACAAATGGCATCTATAGCTACTTTCCGGAACTACAATCAGTTACCTGGAACTACCATGAGGCCGGACATGGTAAAGGTGCCCCGGACGGCATTGGTGGAGTTTGTAAAAGGACTGCAGACCGTATTGTTGCTCAGGGATCTGATGTGAGTTCTTTCAGCCAATTGGTTGAAATCCTGAAAGCCAACTGCTCAGGCATATCCTTTTTGGAGATTCATGCTTGTGAAATTGAAAAATTTTCAGATGCTATAAATAAAGCTGAGGTTCTGCCATTTAAAGGAACTTTGAAGGTTCGTCAAGTAAGATCTCTAAGAGACCACAACACACTATCTCTAAGAGAGCTCTCCTGTTTCGACTGCGGCGAAAGATGTCTACATTACACTATTGGAACTTTATCTTATAATTCGGTAACGAAAAGTTATGCGTCTGATGAAGAATTATATATTTTTGACAAAGGGAATAAAGCGAAGCTACATTACTACAATGTTTACAGTGAAAGTTCTTCAGATGATGATATTCCTTTGTCCGAGTGGAAAAAAAATGGTCAATTAGCAGCAGAGTTTCCAAGTAGCCGCTCAATATAACGTTATGTTTTTGTTTCAGAATACATTGTTTGAGTTTATTTTGTACCTGACTATTTTTTAATAAAAAATGCAAAGCATGTTTGCTATCCTGCTGTTTCTTTGTCAGTTCCGTGTAACCGTGTCAGTCCCGTGTATTGAGATTTTTGAAAAATGTTAAATAATTCAAAGTATACAAACTAAAATCTCGGTTATTGTATAATTTCCAAACAAACAAGCCATACTGCATCGAGTAAATGCACGGTCTTCTAAATACTAGATATTTTTTATGTGGCACATTTAGAGGACTTAAATGTCCCAGTGTGGGAATATTGACCCTTATATGAGTCATTGTCACATTTTCTCATCTACTTAAATATTTTTTTTTGTTGTTGTTGGAGAGAACTGTACGCCCTGAACTCTACTACATTTATTCAGCAGAACCCAAATTTACCAATATAAAAATAATATATATCTATACATTAACGAAACAAAGACAAGGTTTCTCTATAATATATGAGCGCCTAAGTTTAAAAACTTGTATGCGCAAAAACAGACCAAAACAGTAATTAATTGATAAATATCGTGCAATATATATTTTTGTATAAAATCACTCAACTATACAAACAAAACATGAAACACGATATACACAAAATGAAAGAAAATTTCATATTTTTGTTGTAAGTCATAGATTTAACTTAAGATCACAGAAAAAAAAGTGTCACAATAATATCAAAAAGAAAGAAAAGAAACAAATAGGCAGATCAATCTACCTCAAAGCAACTTAAAATAAACGCATAAATTGTTCACGATTTTCCCAACAGAACATTTTAAACGAAACATAAATTTTTAATTATTTCCAATATTCCTGATATTAGCAGGAATCAAATTGTAACATTTAGGTGCAAGATATGTCACAAAACGCAAATTTAAATCTCGCCTGGACTGCGGGTCGTTCAGGTTATGAGTGGTGTTTGCTCGGGTCGTATAATTGTGGGACACAAACTACATACTGCAAGGATATATAAGATTTTAATATTGTTTATTTCTTGAGAATAAAGTTGCATAGTGGGATATAGTCTAGGTTTTTTAGAATAATCCTTACAATATGGTTCTGCACCACTTTTAACTGCCCAAGATTTGAACCGTACATCCCACCCCACACAATTATGCCATATACCAATAGTGGCACCACAAGTGCTTTGTAAATCATTAATAGTAGTTTAATGTTCAGTATATTACGAAGAGCGTAGAATTTATGGATGAAAAATCTAATTTTTTGCTCAAATACAGCACATGTCGGTCCCACTTCAAGTGCTTATCAACAACAACCCCCAAATATTTAATTTCATTTACTTCTTTCAAAGGCTCATCAATATTATCAAGTTTAATTTGGTTAAATGCTGGTCTATTAGTCATGGTAATAGAGAAGGCAATGTAATGAGTTTTTTTATATTAATAGTTAATTTAAATGTGTCCAGAATGTTTTTAATTTTTGCAAAATCAGTCTTCAGTTTTTCACCGGTTGATTCCCATGTCTCTCCATGAAACACCACCATGGTGTCATCAGCATAGGCAATTACATCGCCATCAACTGCAAGACTGCAGAGGTAATTTACATATATATTAAAAAGAACTCCATACTGAACCGTCTTAGGTTCACTTAGAACATCCGCAATCCTGACATACTGACTCCTATGTATTAAATAATCTCTAAATACACTTAACACAGCACCCCTAACTCCATGTCCCTTCAGTGCTTGGAGGAGCATAGGATGAGATACCGTGTCAAATGCCTTTGCTAAATCCAAAAACAAAGCGATGCACTTATCACCGTTATTTAAATGATACATTATTTTAGACGCTAATTCATAAACCGCATGTGATGTGCTTAAACCTTGTCTAAAACCAAACTGATTCTCAGATAACAGCTTATCTGAGTCCAAGAATGCAACCAATCTAACCTTAAGGCATTTTTCAAATATCTTTGCTAAATTAGAGATTATACTTATTGGTCTATAATTACTTATATATTCTTTATCTCCTGCTTTGTGAATAGGTGATACAACCGATATTTTAAATTGTTTAGGTACTTTGCCCGTTTTGAAAATCAGATTGATTATATGAACTAAGGGATCCAAGAGATATACATGTAGTTGTTTGATTATTTTAGTCGTTAATTTATCTAATCCTGGAGAGCAACTATTTTTTAGACTCATTATATGTTCAATAATTTCATTACTGTTGGTCGGTTTTAAATACATTGAATAGGAAGGGCTATTTATGAATTGAAAAGGTGTGGGAGGGTTCCCAATTTTATCTGACACTTCTCTGCCAATATTTATAAAAAAGTTATTTGCAAAATCAGCAATTTGCTTTTTATCAATAATCATGTCATTTTTTTCATCCTTTAGGTAAGTTATAGGACATTCGGTTTGGCTTTCATTTGTTACCTCTTTAACTAATTTATAAACTTTTTTGATATCATGTGAGCTTTGATTAAATTTACTTGTATAGTACTCATTTTTTGTAAATCTTATTATTTCATTAAGATGGTTTCTATATTCTTTGTATTCCGATATCTCTGCTGGAGACGGGTTTAGATTAAGGGCTCTTTTCAGCTTATCTCGGTTTTTCATAGATTTACTTATTGCATTTGTAATCCATGGTTTAAGCTTTTTATAATTATTCAGGGTGTTTTTAACAAATTCTGACTTTTTTATAATATTACTTAATTTTTTAAAAAGGTAATTGGTTGCTTCTTCTGCTTGATCAAAAACCAAACTGTAGTTCCAGTCTACCTCAGATGCTAAGTGCTTCAATTTATTCATATCAATACATTTAAAGACATTTCGGCAGTTAGATTCTGTAGAGAGTTTGCAGCGAAGTCATCTGAAACATGAAGCATAAGGGGTCGGTTATGTCATGTTCTATAATATAGCTATCTATTTTTCTGGAGGCTGCTTTGATTTTGTCGCGCGCGAAAAGATGATCGAGACAGGTTTCACTCACCTCCCTCGTAACCCCCTGACACAATGGAACAAACCCATGCGTGAACATTATGGAAAGATACCTGTTTACATCAACATTATCTTTACTTAGAAGATTAATATTAATATCACCCCAAAAAAAAATCGAAGTTTCTTCTTTCGACTCCCATCACCAACTTTGTTTTTTCGTATGAAGGCTATTATTATATTAGAATTTTATACATTTAAATGGGATTTTCGGTCCTAAGTTTAGTGATATATTGGCCATTAATTTGTTGTTGGATCGAAAATCATGAGGGAATAAAAAGGTTTCTTCTCTCTCCGGAACTTAGAAGCTTTCTAAGCGACGTTTTGTTAGATGCCTGAATACTCAACTCTGACCAACTTAAGTGACTTCGTATCTCTTTACAGTTTCCGAGATGCCGATGGTAAAGAACGAATTTGAAACACCCGGAAAACATTCATACAAGGAATTTCTTCGAAATGCTTTACAAAGATTTTTTTGCCATGTATTTTTTATATACATATTTATGCAACCGAAATAAGCGTTATATGACTGAAATAATATACGCTTTAATTCTGTGTATAAACATGATAATGCATTTGATTGACCTTTTGCATTATTTCTGGTAGATTGAATTCATTCCTGAAATACATGCACCATATAAGGTTATATTAAAATTTGTCTTCAGGCGTTTTATATATATATTATAGAATTCTAAATTATTCCTATGTGGCGATAAAAGCTTCATCAGGTAGATAGACTGGATTTTTTAACAGGTCACCAACTGGTACATTTAAAAAATCAATATTGTGATCATTTAAACCAGAGTTCCCCAAACTTTTTTGTGTCGTAGACCCCTTGCTATGTTTTCCGTGTTGGGTAGACCCCCTACTTACCTGATATTGATTTCCTGTAAATTTCTAACTGTAGTGAAGTTTAGTGTTAAAAACTTAAAGTAAAAGCACATGTTAATTTATACATTTATTAATTTAATTTAAATTAAAACTACTCAAAATAAAATTTTGTATCTGTTATGTAAAATATATGTAACATTAAATAAACAGGTGTCTGACCAATAAGTGCCCGCATTGAAAAAAAATAAGAGGGATAAAATAAAAAAAAGTGAAAAATAATAAAAAAAAACTTTTTTACTTAAAATAGTACAATAAGCGAGTTCGTTTATTAATTATAACATAAACGTATGTTCTACAATAATTTCACTGTTAGTTTGATTAAATTTCGCTTCTTATACGTTTAAGTTATCTAAAAATAGGCAAAAAATTAACGAATTTTAGTGTGTACCTATCCTTGAATTTTCAGAATAATTTAAAAAAAAAATATTTTCTATAAAGGGGGGTTCTTTAAAGAAATCAATGCGGGCACTTATTCCCAATGCGGGCATTTATTGGTCAGACACCAATAAACATAAAATAAACAATAAATAAAATAACATAAGCAAGAAGTCAATATTTTTAGTGAGAAGGATGAACCTGATGCTTTAATAATAAATTATCAACATTTGGCGTCAATTTTGTAAGGGTTAATCTTAAATCTCCTCGGCTAATGATGTCCAGTCTGTTTCTTTTTTTCGTTAGGAGATTGGTAACAGCGCTGAACCCCCAGAATTGCTGATATCCGTTTTTAAACTGAACCTTAAGTTCTTCGTTTGTACTTAGTTCAGTCAGTTCCTCTTGTATTATGACATTCGCTTCTTCTACGTCACCATATGGATTAATTATCCACGGTGGTATTACCATAATCAAAATATCCTCAAACCTAGATTCAAAATCTGAATAGAGGGCATTTAAATGTTGAACGTAAATTGAAACGTCGTCTTCCTGGCAGCTTGTCTGTGACAAATTGGGGAACTGAAAAAATTCGCCCCGTCCAATATTTTGCATCATTAGTTTAACTCTGGCAAGAAACTCTGATAAGATGGGTTTTGTTTTAATCGAATTTAAACTGTCGCCTTGTAATTTCAAATTAACCATATTAAATTTTGTAAACAAATCTGTTAAATAGGCGATGTC